GAATTTTTAATATTTTTTTTTTAGTTCTCGGCGGACACAACATCTTTGTTGGTATGTGGTGCTGAGGATCGAACCCGGGCCGCACGCATGCAAGGCGAGCGCGCTACCGCTTGAGCCACATCCCCAGCCCTCTTTAATTTCTTTCTTTAGTGTTCTGTAGTTTTCATTGTAGAGATCTTTCACCTCTTTTGATAGGTTAATTCACAAGTATTTTATTTATTTATTTTTTGAGACTGTTGTAAATGGGGCAGTTTTCCTCATTTCCTTTTCAGAGGATTTATCACTGATGTACAGAAATGCCTTTGATTTATGTGGGTTGATTTGTATCCTGCTACTTTGCTGAATTCATTTACTAATTCTAGACATTTTCTGGTGGAACTTTTAGGGTCTTCTAGGTATAGAATCCTATTTTTGACAAATAGTTCTAATTTGAGTTCTTCTTTTCCTATGGAAATTATTTGAATGGAATCTTGATTTGTGTGGGGCACTTTCTTCCCTCGTCTTTTCATGTTGCCTGTGTGTCTTCCCTTCTAGCACGGTGTTTTTGAGGTATTACCATTTTTACCCTATAGGTTTATAGGACCACTGTAGGGTTCCAATACCAATCCATTTAGGTAAAGGTTAACGTAAACAGATCTCAATATAAATTACATACACCCTAATAAACAAATGTTTGCTATTAAGATGTTGACAGTTTGGTCACAATGTACAGAAATGGTGAATTCGATTATTATCTACAATATAGTTAGTAGGTTTGTAAAAGGGCTTACAGGTTCTAATGGTAGACAAATAATTGGGGTAAGGAGTAGGAGGATTTGCTGAGCAGGTAGGAGGTGAGGATGTAGAGCTGTTATATCTTAGGAAGTGAAAAACAGAAATCTAAAGAGGGAGATTAGTAGCAGGAGAAGGGAAAAGAAGTAATTTGGGGTAGACAAGTATGTGGGAAGACATAAGTACATAAAACAAACACACATGTGTATTAAGAAAAAGAAAAAAACGTTAAAATAGTAGAAATTGGTTGGAAAAAAAGAATATACAACAAAGTTGTAATATACTATTCAGTATATTGTGTACAACCATAGAAATGTAAAGTTGTGCTGTGATTGTGTACAATGAATCAAATGCATTCTGCTGTCATATGTATCTAATTAAAATAAATTAATTAATTTTAAAAATCAGTTGAGACTGAACCCAGGGCCTCACGTGTGTCAGGCAAGTCCTCTACCACGGAAATAAAAATTTCAGTGTCCATCAACAACTAAAAAGTAAAATAAAATAGAAAAAGATGAGAGTATTCAAAAAATCAGTTGAACTATTTGTGTGGGTCCACTTCTGTGTTCTTGTTCTATTTCGTTGATTTGTGGCTCTAACCCCCCTTGCCAATAACACACAACTTATACCACACTGCCTTCAGTATTATAGCTCTGTCGTTGGTCTCATGTCAGACGGATAGGTTCCTCACACTTTATTTTTGTCAAGATTATTTTAGTTCTTAAAACAAGCTATATCTTTCTATATAAATCTACAGTATGCTTATCTATGTAGACAAATATGCTTACTGGGGTATTATTAGGAATCACATTAAACCAATAAATCAATGTACAGAGGACTGACATCTTTACTATATTGAGTGTCTTAATCCATATAAGCACATTGTACCTCCACTTATTTGTTCTTCTCCAATTTATTTCATCAATGTTTGTAATTTTCAGCACAAACTGTATATAGTTTAAATGTATACAAAAGTATCTCTTGTTCTTTGGTATCCTGATCAATTGCATTATTTTTGTTTTTAGTTTCTGTCATTCATTGTTACTATATAGTAATGTCATTGTTTTTGAGAGTTGATCTTGTGTCTATTTCTCTTACTGAACTCATTTTTTAAAAATGGGAGTGTTTCTGAAGACTCCTTGGAATTTTCTATGTATACAACCATGTCATCTTCAAATAGATTTTTTAAAAATCCTTTTTCATTTGCTTTCTTTTTGTTTCTTTTCCTTGACTTATTTCAGTGGGAAAAAAAAAAAATACCAGTAATGGTGAGAGTAGACATGCTTCCTAATTCATCTCAGATGATAAAATTTAGTTTTGGCCATTTAGTATGTGGTAAAAGTTATTTTTTTAATTAAATGATCTTTATCATATTGAATTATAAATTCCCCTCTGTTTCTAACTTGATGAAAGTTTTTATTAAAAATGAATGTTGAAAAAAATCTCCAATGTTTTTCTGTTGATCAAAATGCTTATATGCTTTTCTTTTGCTAATAGATATTATTGATTATAATGATTGGTTTTCAAATGTTGACCCAGACTTGAATGCCTGGTATGAGTTCCACTGGACTATGATGCATAATTCTTTTTATATTGTCTGATTTGCTCATATTTTGTTGAAGACTTTGGCGTCCAGGTTAGTGTGACACATTGTCCTGCAGTTTTCTGGGTGTTTTGTGTGTGTGCTGTGGTTTGGATGCAGTCCGAGTGCCCTCCAGGTTTCATGTGCTGAAATGGAATCCCCGTTGAATGGTATTAAGAGGGCGCAGAATTCATGTGACTGTGGTGTTTAGGGTGGCCTTTGGAAGGTGAACAGGATTAAAATCATTAAGATGAAGCCCCCATAATTGAATCTTTGTGGCTTATGATAAGAGAGGACAAGGCCAGAAGATCCACCCACTCCCTGTCTCTTGCCACGGTGTGTCCGGCACCACCTCAGGACTCCGCTAACAAGGCCATGGAGGGGACTCCTCCATTGTCCCTCTGAAACTATGAGCCAAAATAAACCTCTTTTTTCTATAACTCACCTCGAATGTGGTTTTGTGCTAATGGCAACAGTAGACAGACTGAAACAGTATGTGTTCATGGATGATCTTTTTGTTTTTTATTTTACTATTCTATGTTTATCTGTTTTTTGCAATAAAGGTGACACTGGCCTCCTAAGATGGTTGGGGAGAGGTCCTTCTTCTTCTGTTAAGTGTCTGGTGGGGTCTTCTTAACTGTGCTGACTCTGTCCTCCACACTCACACTCTCCTATGGAGCCCATCCAGCAAACCGTGATTTTCAACCATAGTTTTTCCATTTGATTCCTCTTGAATTTGCTGATATTTTTTCTCTTCCTGTTTTAAAAGGGTTTGTAAGATTGCTGAAACATTCTTTTAAATGGCCAAACTTAAATCCTTCCCAGATACTTCCACCATAGGACTCAGCTTTGTCATTGAAGTCACGATTGTCTTCGTTACTGGTAAGATTGCACACTGGACATCTTGTTAATGTTTTTTAGAAGTGTGTGTGTCCTATTCAAATCTATTTTGCAGGCAGTCCCTCTCTTTAGGTGTACACACTGACCTTGATCTATATTTGTTGGGTACAGTTCCTACGGCAACTGAATTCTAGGAGCTCTAAGGTGATATGGGGTTTTCTTTGGTGAATCTAGAGCAGCCAGTGTCTCTCTGGTCTCTGCTGTGCTGCCTGGTAGGATGAAAGGTGCTCTCCCAACGGGGCTGCCGGGTGTGTTGGGGGGACAGGTCAGTTCTCCCCCAAATGCTGCTTAGGCACTGTCCATTCTCTGGCAGACAAAGAGAATCTCAGCCCCAGAGCCTCCTGAGCCAGCAGCCACTGTGGGTGAGGCCCTTCTCAGGTTCTCCACGCCTGCTGCAGTGCCTCTGGGTGAGAAAGTCTGAGGCCATGGACTCACAAGACACTTCGTGGACCGGACTCCCTGCTGTGACCACGTCCAGTCCTGCTGTTCTGTGCTACCAGTTTCCTTTGCTTGTAAGGATCCAATATTATTATATAAAGATGGCAAGGAGAACACAGTGAGCTAAAAGGATGATTTTGTTTTCTTTCTAAACAAATTTTTAAAACTATGTCCTCAGTCCTAAGGTCTGTGTTGACAATGTCATGTTGTCCAAAAATTTCATTTCTTGACATCAGAAATTTTATGACTTTGTATAAAATATGTACATATTCCTGAACTGTACATGTTATTTTTCTGTTTACAGAGAATTTATATTTCTAGTCACATAAATGTATCTGTCTGATTATGTAATAACACAGTATTATAAGTATTGCAATAACATGGTACATGAATTGAAAGTTTAATGGTTATGATAAAATGGTATGCCTTTGTTCATTCATAACTCTCTTTTACAGTGTAAAAATCATGATTTTATTTTTAAAAACTCACCTAATGCCAATGGCATTAATGAACAGTCTTCTGAAAATCATTTAAAACAACTTTTTTATTTAATATCAAAATTAGAGGACTTGATAAGATATTCAAAATATTTTTGCTTTTTGTTTTTGGTTTTGTTATTGTTGTTTTGTTTTATTTTGTTTGCAGTTCCAGGAATTGAACCCAGGAAGTTGTTCATACTAGACAGAAAGTTGATCATTGAGCAATACCCCAACTCACACCAGGCTTTATTTAGGGATCCTGACGTGTGTGTGTGTGTGTGTGTGTGTGTTAGGCACACAGGTGCACAGACCCCTCTCCATTTGGCTTGAATTTTACAGTCTGTGGGAAGCCAGATGAATGTTCTCAACAGTAAACTTAGCCATCTTCATGTTTGCTGTGATCTGCTGTCTAAGAGTGTAAGGGTCCCCTTGGCAAGTGATAAAAGCAGCACTAGTGAGTGTGAATGGAACATGTTGCAAAATCTCCAAGAAAAGGATAAAAAGGACTAGGGGATAAGAACAGGTACTGAATAAATATTGCTAAATAAATGAAGGAGTTTCAAACTCGTACCACTTATGAAGCTAAATTCTCTTGATTATTTCTTTACCCTTCATTTAAAATATATGAAGTGTTTTTATACTTATTTCATGAATGATAAAACTATCTTTTGAAAGCAAAGTAAGACCTCAGTATCACACATTAAGCAAGGGGAAGAATCAGGAATCAACATAAATTACTAACTCCTAAACTCATAAGCGGTCTACTTTATCATAATATACCAGTTTCCAATAAAAGCCAGTGGTGGAAGCCAGTCATACTCTGAGAATTTGGTGCCTGATGTTTCCACATATTCTGTAACTTTATAGTCTTATAAAATGCAAAATTGCTCATATCTCTGTAGTGAACATTTTATTGCTGCAAAGCAATGTTTGTATTGCAAGCCTGTTCGTTTTCAAGTTCTCTACCTCTGAAGAGAATTTACTTCAAGTCACGCTAACTCAAGATATCCAGCAAGGCTTTGGATGATACTCCTGTCTCCAGGTAAGCATGCCACAATCAGGTGCTACAAAATCTCTTGTCTTCCTCTTCAAACCTTTCTCCTAAATTCAAAGGACAGTCAAAATACCACCCTAAGAGCACACTGGTGTTGAACACAGCCTCAGTGACATCATCTACCTCACAGAATTGGGGAGAAAGGTGACTGAAGCCATGAGGCGATGTCTGTCTCATAGCAACCTCTCTAATAACACATGACAGATGAACCAGGTGATGGTATCAGGATTACAGTAATATTACCAGGGCATTAGCAGTTCCTGCTGCCCAGGTATCTAATATCTGAAGAAGGCTGCTGTTTAACCAGGTTATGTTTCAGAAAAACAAACAAACAAACAAACAAACAAACAAAAATTTTAAATGATTACTCAAAGATTTATTCCTCTCTCCCAGGACATTTTCGATGTAGGTGTATGGGAGCAGAAATGGGATATCAGTCAAGGACTCAAGCTCAGACACTTTCTTCGTGAGTATTTGCTTGGTGGCAGCTTCTGGGAGCAGGTTCATACAGAACTATGTGTCAGCTTCTGAGACTGATCAGGACAGGAGACACGTCATATCTACTCACAGTTCATTGGCCACCATAGGACACAGCTTACCCTCAAAATGGGTTGTGTTAGCCAACTTTTTATCATTGTGACCAAAATACACAAGAACCATTTAGAGGAGAAAAAATGTATTTTGGGCTCATGGCTTTACAAGTTCAGTGGATGGTCAGTCCACCGCAGGTCAGGTAGAACATCAGGACAGATGGGCATGGTGGAGGAAAGCTGGTCATCTCCTGGCAGCCAGGAAGCACAGGGAGGGGAGGGGAAAGCCAGGGATAAAATGAAATCCATTCAAAGTCTTAATCCATTCATCAAATTCTGACCCCCATAATCTAATCATTTCACTTCTAAACATTTCAGCATTGCCTAATTTTTAAATTGTCTAAATTTAGCATTTAGGAGGATTTTTCATATCTAAACCACAATGTGGATTGAGAAGGAAACCTTTCCTTGTACCTAGAAGGAAGAGAACCATTTTATGTATGAGCACCCTGATCATGAGATAGCTGGCATTGTCTGTAGCCCTTGCATTGGTCTCATTTTAAAAACATTTTTTTTTCTTTTACTCCCAGAACCATCAGCAGTTTATAACCTTGCAAACTACATAAATTTGTTACAACACCCTTGAAACAATTAACAAGATACTTGTCCCCTCTGCCATATGGCCACAAAAAGAAAAATCATGTATGTGCACCAGAGCAAGTGATAGCAGTTTGCATGCTGCTGTGGGTTTTAATGACATATTATCATGACAAATTTTGAACCTTCAATGTTTCCTCTTACATTTGCCTGTAAATATACAAATAAGAATATTATAATGAAAAAAGAAATAAGATGTAACCTTTATAAATTACAAGGAAGAAAATAATAACACAGAGATCAGATCAGAACCCCAAAATAAATACCAGAAAGTTGAGAGAACTCAAGACAATGAGCATCCAGTAGCACAAGAGGAATGATCAAGCTCCCAGTGTTGGAAAGCTTGTTGATGAGGGTGTGGAGACCAGAATACGCTACTGGAATGAATTTAGAACAAGTGTTGTTGAGATAAAGTCAATAAAGGAGAGGCAGATGAAGGAATCCTCACCTCCCTCCTTCGATTTACCAAAAGGCAGGGCATGGATTTGTAGATGCATAAAGTATAATGTGTTCCCCCGCCCCGTTCTATCAGAGAACAAAGTTTAACCACTTAAGCTAAGGAAGACTTTTTAGTGGTCCTGGAGATGGCTCCAGTGGACTCTGCGATAACACTCTTCACTAATAGGACGTTGCCATTTATTTGCTTTTCCTCAATGCCATCCTGGACACTCATGTTCTTTCTTTTGGTGTCTGACTTCTCTAAACAGTTCCTGTTCTTTATGGAATATGCTGGGTTATCTGAGATTCAAATCCATCTCTACTCATTCTCTGAGTACACACACACACATACACCCATTATATAGGTAGAGTATAGTATATAGTTTTGTAAACTTATGCTTGCTTTTCTCTTGTTGATCTGTCTTTTACTACAGGTGTCAATTCCAACCAATAACTTAGGAAAACTAGGGAAATACATTTTCTCCCCCTACGAATCCATGGTTTTACAAGTTAGAGTGGATTGTCAGTCAAATCCAGGTCAGGGAGAACATCCCGGCAGAAAGGCCCAGTGGAAGACACTTTTCAGCTCCTGGCCCCCTGGAAGCAGAGAGAAGGGAGGAGCCAGGGATAAAATGAAATCCCCAAGGGCACACCTCCAGGGACTACTCTCTCCAGCCACTCCCTACCCTAACTAGTTGTGGCCTCTGGATGAAAATCCTTGAGGCTATCTCCAGGCCCATAGGAGTCAAAGTGTTAGGTGCTTAACTTTTGTTCTCCCTGGTAGAAAGTGAACGGCAATATCCCTTTTGTATGCGAAAGTGAGAGAATGGAGTTAAAAATCAAAACATATCTGATTACCAACACAGAGCAATAATGTTGTAGGAAAACATTTGGTTTAAAGAATTCTTTCATGTGACTATTTAATAAATGTATACAGTGGCGAGATGCCACTCTGATCACACTGAACTTTGCCAGAAAGTTTTGCTTCACATCACAGAAATGTGGAAATGTAGTATCTGGTATAAGAAGACAAGTTTTAGGTGAAAGTCTGAATTTCTAAAAATACATTGCACAAAACAAACCTCATGGTACCTCTCACTATGATGTATATGGCATTTCATTTGAAGTAGAATATCTTGTACTTTTGTGTGAATCATTCTGATGATGTTGCTTCCAGAGATAATTAGGCCTTTTGTGGCTTAATATTCTTTTAACATGAGAGATAGACATTTAACATGGCTCTATTTCCCATAGTAGTCATGCCCAACAGACGATGTGAAGATGGTGGATGTGGCACTTTCCATGTGTTTGAAAAGGGCCTGGAGTTGTTCCCTATCTCTTGTGCCAACCAAACTCACCAGTATGCCACTCCCAAATAGGCCATCAGGGATCTATGCCTAATTAAATATGTCTGGTCTCCTGGTATCCTCATTATTATTTTTTTTAAGAGGATATTGGCATGAACAGATTTTGTCAGTAAACCTGGCTTAAGCAATTAGGGCTTGACTTCCAATTAAAGTTAGTACCACAAAATATCTTTCTTGTCCTCAACTATGGCTATGATAATAATGAAATAAAACTTACTCATAAAATTGAGGCTAAATATCCCATGTAGAAATGTGTTTCTACATACAGAATTAATTATTTCATTTTAGTAAGATAATTGCTATCCTATTTGTTTGGTTTGGCAAGGAAACTTATTTTTCATGTTGTACCAAGGACTTACTTAGTGGAGAACCATGGTGTGTGTGTGTGTGTGTGTGTGTGTGTGTGTGTATGCACACTGGTGTGTTTGTTTAAATAGAGAAACATTTGTGACTTGTTCACACTAAACACCCAGTATATTAAAATACTTAATGCATAGAAGATGTTCTATAAACAAGATTTAAGTAAGTAGATAAAGTAATTTTTGATACAATAATGATCATGGCATTTCTCTTAAAATGTTCTAAATGCTGTCATAGTACAATAAAAGACTTGGGTGTTATAAACATTCTGATTTATCCTTGAGAAGAAACTTATAACTACAGAGAGCACCATTTCATAGATTTATAAATTTAAAGACTTTATGTTAAATATAAATCACTTATCAAGAGACTCACTGAATTAGTGCTTGTTTAGCATATTAATATGATGATTATATTTAACAGGTGGGATTTAGAGTGAGAGAATTTAGGCAGCCCAGGAACAATATAAAATAAGAAATAAAGAAGCTTAAATGATTTGAAATTATTGTGTGTTTCTGTCTAAGCTGAGATTGTTTATTTAATGGTAAGGCAAGGAACTTTAAAGAAAAAATTTAAAACTTTAAAGAATAAAATAAAAAACTAAAATATTTGCCATAGGCTTTCACAGATTTTCAACTAACTACTGTATAAAGCTGAAGATTAGCATTTCAAAATGAGAACATTACCTGATTGAGTGAAAGGCTGAGAGAAATCAGATCAAATAGAAGGTCCCTGAGTAGAATACCAAAATAAAAATCCAGGTTTGAAGTAACATCACCCATGAATAAAAAAAAAAATGAGAATATGGTGTTGTAGACCCAACTCCAGGAAGAGTTTTCTCAATGAGCAAAAGAAACATCAAATCATTTGAATACTTTAATGCTATTTTCTGTCTTTTTTGATGAAACAGTTAAAATGCTATCAATGAATTTGGATGAGAAGTTATGCCTTACAAAAGAGATATATGAATCAGATTTTCATGTTTTTGTTAGTTATTTTCCTAGAACTTTATGTGATATCTGGTGCATGAATCATTTTTACTTTGTCACTTTATTCCTGAATTCTTTGGAGCAGGATCAAATTTGGCATTAACACCAGCCCTGAATGTGAGAGTCAGCAGGGTGCAGGCACATGGACCACTACTCAGAACTAGGAGCCCCTGGGCTTCCCGAGTCAGGAACAGCATGGGCGATGCTCACTGCTTCTCTTTCCATAGCTACACTTTTGATCTCATGTAGACAAAAGGAAATTAGATATTTACCTCTCTGTATTTTAAAATGTAATTGCCCTTCCCCTTCACCAACTCCTTCTACAATGTGCTTATTAATTGTTATCAGACACAGGATACAGCAAAGATCATACAGGTTTAAACTATAGGTTTGTGTAACTCTTAAACCTGCTTTTGACTCCTATGTTAGACTCTTTAATCCAGAATAGTTTTAATCTTAAAAGAGACTGAGCTTCTCTTTTTGTACTGCCAAACATGTTGGTGAAACTTGACTTGGTTCTGGATTCAGGGCTCACATACCCTTCAAAGGTTGCTATTTTTTCCTGACAATAAAGTTACTTATCTCATCAGAGATCCTGCAGTTACTAGAAATTAATTGATTTAACTAAGGTATTGTTGATATAATAGAATGATAGCTTGTCATAGCCTACTTAATAATAGGTTAACATTTTCTAAGCATTAAGGAAGAGTGGAGAACTCTTCTAGATAATTCATATGTACAAACTCTCCCTTAACACTCATGAGCAGATAAGGCCACTTCTGCCCAGGTGACCTGAACAATTGCATGAAACCTGTCTCAGGAGGACCTTGTGCCTGGTTAATGGTCCACTGCCAACATCTTTGTATTATAAATGATGTTGTCTTTGAACATGTGCTTTTAAGTGAAATTTGATGGGACAATTGTGGGAGGCCATCCTCGCACGTGATTTGAGTTACCTCCCTGGCTAGGGGAGAGGCGCTTAGACACAGCTGTGTCAGAGCTTTCCCCACCCTTCTCCAGGTCCGAGGGCTTGTCCCTGCAGAGGCGTGTCTAGCCACTGTCATGAAGACCCAATCGCCGCCCCTGGCCTTGGGATGCTGCCCCCCTTAACCTTCATTGGATGGGATTTTCCCTGGAATTTTTTGTTCCCCAATAAAAAGC